CAGAGGGCACACTCTAGACCTGTTAGTTACAAAGGGGGTGAATATTTCAAATATAAGCGTGGTCGATGTTGCTCTTTCGGATCATTTCTGTGTATTTTTTGACATGTGTTTCACTAACAAACCACCAGTGGACTCTGCAACTGTTCGAAGAAGACACATAAATGAAAATACGAGTGATCTATTTATGGGAATGATAAACTTTGAGAATGCATCGTATTCTACTGTAGATGAACTGTTTAACTCTGTCACCTCTAGTGTTTTGAATGTTCTGGATACCGTTGCCCCTGTGAAGGTTAAAATAGTGAAAAATAAGCAGAAGGCGCCGTGGGCTAAAGCAGACTCGGTCAGGGCACAAAAGAGAAAGTGCCGGAGGGCCGAGCGGAAGTGGCGCAAGTCCAACCTCCAGGTTGATTACAAGATCTTCAAAGATAAGTTGTGCGAGTTTAACCGGGTGCTACGTAGTACGAGAGAAAGGTATTTTTCTGAAATGATTGAAGGCTGCAGTAACAATCTGCGTGTTCTGTTTTCAACAGTTAATAGATTAACAAACCCCCCTGTTCAGATGCCATTAGAGCTAACTTCCAAACGTAAATGCAATGAGTTTGCACACTTTTTCAATGACAAGGTTCAAGGCATCAAAAACGCCATTGTCTCCAATCCACAGATAACCATCCAACAGCCAGAAAGGCTCTCTGAGCTAACTTACTTTGCACCTGTAGATGATAAAAATGTCCAAGAAATAATCTCCAGTTTGAGCTCCTCCACATGCAGCCTGGATGTACTACCCACTAGATTTCTGAAGTCTGTTCTGAGCAGTCTGTTACCTTCACTCACACAGATAGTAAACATGTCCCTTCATTCTGGAATATTCCCAAAGGCCCTGAAAACTGCAGTCATCAGGCCCCTGCTAAAAAAGAGCAGCCTGGATGCTACGGTACTTAACAACTATCGTCCCATCTCAAATCTGCCATTTATGGGGAAAGTCCTTGAAAAAGTTGTCTACCTACAGCTTACTAGATTTCTTATAATCAACAACTCATTTGATATGTTTCAGTCCGGCTTTAGACCCCACCACAGCACTGAGACTGCTCTTGTCAAGGTTACAAACGATATCCGGCTGAACACTGACGCAGGCAAAGTCTCAATCTTAATCTTGTTAGATCTGAGTGCTGCCTTTGACACCGTCGACCATGAGATCCTCTTACAGAGATTAGAGGACTGGGTTGGAGTCGCTGGCACCGCCCTAAGTTGGTTTAGGTCTTACCTTGAAGACAGGAAGTACTTTGTGGAGATTGGAGACTGTGTCTCAGATCATATGGCCCTGACTTGTGGAGTACCACAGGGGTCGATCCTGGGACCTCTTCTGTTCAATCTCTACATGCTGCCGTTAGGTCAGTTAATACGCAGAAACAAAGTGTCCTATCACAACTATGCAGACGACACTCAGATCTATGTCTCACTGACTGCAGGAGAACATGGACCAGTGGACTCACTCCTTCACTGTATCCAACAGATCAGTGAGTGGATGCAAAACAACTTCCTTCAACTAAACGCAGACGAAACTGAAATGATTGTCTTTGGTCCCCAGAAACAAAGAGAGAGCGTCATCTGTCACCTACAGTCTCTCTCCCTAAAACCTTCAAACAAGGTCAGAAATCTAGGGGTAATACTGGACTCAGACTTAAATTTTAATAGCCACATCAAATCAGTAACATCAGCAGCTTTTTACCATCTAAAAAACATTGCCAGGATCAAAAACATAGTGTCTAAAGCAGACTTGGAGATTCTTATCCATGCATTTGTCTCCAGTAGGTTAGACTACTGCAATGGCCTGCTCACAGGTCTGTCCAAACAGGCTGTAAAACAGCTGCAGTACATTCAAAATGCAGCAGCTCGAGTCCTGACTAGAACCAGGAAGTACGACCACATTAGTCCGGTCCTCAGGTCCCTGCACTGGCTTCCTGTGGCTCAGAGAATAGACTTTAAAACAGCTCTGCTTGTGTACAAATCTCTCCATGGCCTCGCACCAAACTATATTAGTGACATGTTAGTCCCATATGAACCAGCCCGGACTCTGAGGAGCACAGGGACTGGACTCCTGTTAGTGCCCAGAGTCAGAACTAAACATGGGGAGGCTGCTTTTCAGATTCATGCTGCTAAAATCTGGAACAGTCTTCCTGAAGATGTGAGACAGGCCTCCTCTCTGACAATGTTTAAGACAAGGTTGAAAACAGTTCTGTTTAGCTGTGCATACAACTGAGGGATTTTATATTTTTATCTTTTTTTAATGTACTGTGATTATTTATGATTTTAATGCTTTCTTGTTCTGTTCAGCACTTTGAATTGCCTTGTGTATGAATTGTGCTATATAAATAAACTTGCCTTGCCTTAAATGAATGGGCTAAGAACTTGTCAGAAGGCAGATTAGCGGTATATACAGTCTATGCTTCTGCCACGTCTCCCGCGTTCCCCGCGGTTGTTTATCCCCGCTGCATTCACCCACATGCCCGGTGTTATGACGCCCCTGTCCCCTTCACCATGTCCCCTGCCTGGCGTTCGCAGAATGTTTCCACTGCGGCCACACACCGCGGTAAAGAGGTCCGGGTTTTCGGAGTCAGCGGTAAAGAGGTCCGCACATTAAAAGCGGGTGGCCGCTTTATGTTAAAAAGTGCATTGTGGCGGCTCATCCCCGCGTCTTCTCTAGACGCCCAATGTTACCGTGAGTAACAGCATAAAGCGGCTATCCGCTTTTAATGTGCGGACCGCTTTACCGCTGACTCCGAAAAGCCGGGCCTCTTTACCACGGGAGGACGTAAACTGTGGCTGACTGTGGACTGTTATGACGCGGACTCCTGTCACTAATAATGTCTGTGTCTGCTTCACTGGACACCTGCGTGTCTTCCTCCTCTGAATCTGAGTGAGCCAGTACCAAATACTTCTCTGATCTCTGGAGACCTCTGGCTCTGCTCTGGCTCCGCTCAGAACTACGGCTCCTGCTTCGCGTCGCTGCGCCGCAGGTGTTTTACAAACTCATTTTACTGAATATAACCATTCCAACAAAGGCCGCTCATATTAAAGGCACACATGTCCACTAACTCCTCGTGAAAAATATTTACAAAAATTACATCAATAAACGTGTGAATTTTTTTTCTGGGGTACCTCGTCCCCCCCTCAAACAAATTCCTGGCGGAAACACTGACTGTTCAACTCCTTAGTAAACTGAAAGTGTGAATCATGAAATTGCAGCATTAGCGCCCCCTACAGACTGAGTCATGTTTTACATGGGGAGAATGAGGTTTACCTTTTCAATAGACACACAATCACTGATCATAGCAATTCAAAAAGCACAGTGTCGCTCCCGTCAGGGCGGTAGGAAATGGCGCGGTAGCGCCACCTCCTTTGCACGGTGCGGCGAGGGCCTTTCGACGCCGCTTGCGGCTTTAATCCAATCTTCTTGCTGTTTGTACATTTGAACTTCTTGCTTTTTATTAATACAGCTTTTCCTCTGTAAGGGGTGCCATCTAAGAATCTTCCCTTGTGTTAAACCTTTCCTGTTCTTACAACATTTTAGATAATAATGATTTGCACACACTGTGTGTGCGCGTGCGCGCGTAAAGTAATAATACTATTACCTTTTTCTGTTTGAAACCAACCGTGTAACAAGCCTGGCTCAAGGGCCTGCTACTACGCAAACTGCTGGGTGGGGAAAATACAACAAACAGGTCGGGCCATTTAAGATGATTTATTTTAACAAATAATAACAAGCAAATGCCATAAATAACCAAAATACAAACTGTGAGCATAAGTGTAAGAGTTAGTGGTGTGTGCAGTGTATGAAAGCGAGTGACTGTATGAATGCGAAGTGTTGTGTGTAAAACAAATCTAACTGGAACCAAGGTGAAAGAAAGACCAAAAACCAAAGGATTACCTGGAAAGAGAGCAGAGAGACCGACATGAGATTGTGCAAACAATTTATCCTACTCAGGTGCCTCCAATCACCCCTGCCTGCCACAAGGAGCCTCACACAACAGGCAGGGGAGTTCAGGTCTATTCTGCTTAACACCAGACTAAATTTCATTTGAGCATGTTCATTTTTGTTGCCTTTATTTAACTAGGAATGTACCATTGAGCTTCAGAACCTCTTTTTCATTCCCTGGATAATTCAGCTTGGCTTCATTTATTTTTTTATTTTTTTTAACTAAAAGTACCAAAGGATTTAGCCTGTTGTTTATGCTGTTTCTTTTTACATTACAGAGATATACCTGTAATACCAGTATTTTTAGACTGAACCAAAGCCAAGGGAAGGTTTGTTATTGCAGAGAGATGATCATTATCATCAACTGCATTTTGGGTTCAATGTTTAGAATCAATTCAGGGTCTAATTACAGAAGGAGCATCACGTTGTTATAGAAATATTTTAGTAAAGCAATCTGAATTAACACCAAATAGTTATGAGTGTAAGTTATTAACTAATAGTCAACTCTGGATTCAGATACAGGCCATAATGCTCTGTTGGCAGCAGGTCAGTGATAGATGGAGACGTGCTGCATCATGTCTTTGACCTGGGTCATAGAACAATATGTTCAGTTCAAAAGCAGATTGTTACATATATCAGAGTTGTATCAGCGTTAGGACGCGTAAAGAGAAGCCTTGAGCAACACAGACCTATGTTGACTTTATTTATGTAATATCTAGAGTAGATATGTGTTTGTTTACTCTGGTCTATTTAATGTACAGTCATTTCCTCAATCGTGGCAGTCGATTTCGGACGGCTGCAGGTGGTATTGGTATCGGTTCTGTTATTCATTGTAATTGTGCACATTTACTAATGAATAAACTCACACTTTGTTTGGAATTACAGCTCTGAGTTGTTTACATTATTTTACTCTCGGTATGTGCAGAATTTCCACAACAACGTACAGCAGTTTCCTGTCAGCAAATCACTCTCAATAGTCACTTTACAGCAGTATTATGTGAGTTATTGGCGTAGATCTACCCACCTTGTTTTCCCGGCTGCCGCTGTCTCCTCTGTCCTGGTGAGAATAGAACGTGGAAAACATAGCAACAGTCAGAGCTTGGATCATTATCCAAAACAAAGGGATGTGGATTAACCAGTTCCTGAAGAGTTTCGCTTTCTTAGGAACTGGAAAGTAAACTCCACACAAATGGAGTTTCAATTAAATACATGATTTTAGATACAAAAATCAAGTTAAAGAATAAAACATAAATAATGCATGTTGACCTTTCTGTACTTGACTTAAGTAATTTCTGCACTATAAGACGCCACTTTTTTCTAGTTCTTAAGTTGGACCCGTGTGACTTATACTATAGTGATGCAGCTAAGCTAATACAATATGTGTGTGTTTTATTGCATGGACTTATTATAATTTTGACTGGATAAAGTTTTAGCTATAGCACACTGGTTTATTGTCAAAATAGATGAAGGTGAATGAGTCTTGGAAGCTAATAGGGAATGAGTCAATAGTTAAGCTGTTAATCACCTCATCAGTAAATCATGCTGTGACCTGTTAAAATGAATGACTAATAAATAAATAATCTTTCTGCTACTTTACAATATGAATGACACTTTGCTAATATTCAAGTCTCGCCTATATGTTGACTATATGTACTTTATTTTTAAAATGTGGCTGGTGTGGCTTATATACAGGTGCGCCTCTTCAATTCCATTTTTTTTTTTGCATAGCCCTAAATCACAACAGCAACTTTACAAAGTTGTTTAAATTTGCCAACACACATCATATAATTAAACAGTACAAACACATGAAATATAATGATGAAAAGTTAAAACACATAGAGTCATTGGTCCATAGGGAGCGAATGACCAATGTCCATATTTGTTATTATTAGATGTCCATAAATGTCCTTAAACTTCCCAGATTACCACTTTCCTTAGACCCTTTTGCATCGGCAAGGAACAAAAAGAAAAGGTGAGAAACCTCGGGGAGAGAGGGTTCTGCTCTCATCGACAAACTGCCTGTAGATCCTAGACTCAGGCTGTAGAACGAGGCCCAAGGCTATAGATCCAGGTATGAAGCAACTCCCAATAGTCCAGAAAGTACTGCATACAATATTCACACTTTTTCAACTATTTTCTCTCTTTTTATTCGTCTCAAAATACATAAAATCAATAAGGAAAACAGCCCCGAGCAGCACCGCTTTGACTCTCACGTCCAAATCCATCGGAAACGAGACGCCAAAATTATCGGCGTCTGTGAACCCCTCTTGTAAGAAGCCTGCCCACTGTTTGGTTATCTGCCCCACGACCGTGTCCTCATCCAGCGACAAAACATCAAAATTCACATCCGAACAACACGTACAATCACAACACGGGCCCTTTATTTTCAACTGCGCGCTGCGGTTTGCGTCCGTAACCGTAAATTTAGGCCAAAACGGATGCCAGTTTTGCTCGATGTAGCCAATGGGGACCCCTGGTGGACTTTGGATCTCCACTTCTTGCAGGCAACATGGAAAACAGCACGAGCCACATTTAACTGGGCGTATTACGGTCAAAATCTCGCGCCCGAAATTGTCTACGATGTGTATGTCGAACGGGCGAAGCAGGCCGAAGAATTGCGCGGCTAAGAAGTTCGCACCACTTTCTCTGGCAGTGAAAACCTGTTGTCCCATGCTGTTTTTAAGGATGTAGTCTTTACTCATCTCCCAGTTTGTCACCATCTCTGCATAGTTGACTTTCTGTTGGATGAGGATTCGGTCGATTTGTGCGAGATATGCAAGTTCAGGCAGGAGCGCAGCAGGAGGAGGAGCCAACATGGGAGATGGGTCGTACGGAGGAGGAGGAGGAGGTCCAACCCCAATAGAGAAGGGTGCACTGTCAGGTGGGAACGCCATGATGATAATCCTGCAAAAATGATTGGTAAAATGTCATGTCAAGTTCAGGAATAAAAACCTGCTTACTGCTACTACTTCTAAGTGGGCTGGGAACTTTTCTTATCCATAAAATACACAAAGCTATGGGGGGAAGTGATGAGAATGCTAACATTTCATCTCTCTATAATCTCGGTATTTCGTCCAGCAGGAGGCTAGCCTGATCCTAACCGAAATGTTTCAAAGCACAGTCACAAATAACACCCAAAATGTGAATATTTCTTTCTGCTGCAGACAAATAACCAAGATACTCCAAGTGTCAACATAAACCTGCTCCTGCTGGGACTCTGAGGAGCACAGGGACTGGCCTCCTGCTGGGATTCTGAGGAGCACAGGGACTGCCCTCTTGGTGGGATTCTGAGGAGCACAGGGACTGCCCTTTTGGTGGGATTCTGAGGAGCACAGGGACTGGCTTCCTGCTTGGATTCTGAGGAGCACAGGGACTGCTGGCCTCCTGCTGGTACCCAGAGCCAGGACTAAACATGGGGAGGCAGCATTTCAGATTCATGCAGCAAAATAACAAGCATCCTGAAAATGTGAGACAGGCTTCTTCTCTGACAATGTTAAAAATGTTAAAAACAGTTTAGCTGCATACATCTGAAGGTTTGTATCTTTACTCTTTTTAATGCACTGGGATTATCTATGATTGAACCTGACTGGTCAATATGTCCTCAAGATCATGTTTAACCTTTGTGTTGTGTTTGTTTCTTGCCCCTTAATTTGGTGTTCCCGGTCAAATTTGACCGGCCTGTTTTAACTGCTCTTACAGTAGTTTTTTCCAATTGCTTGAATATTATAGACACATGCTTAGACCGAAAGACCTTAAACAAACAAAAGTACTGCTTTGCACCTTATTTCTGCAACACACTTTCCCTTTCTGTAACACACTTTCTCCTGCTTACTACACACTGTGTCATTCATAAGACACTTTGTTCATAAATGCAATCCTGTGTTATCATTGGGAAAACACATCTATTCAAAATACCAAACGCCATTTGTGAGATTGAAAACACTGAGACACACACTTGAAAACATTGACTTACACATGACACACACAGTCAGACATAAACAGGCCTCAGTTTAGCCATTTTCAGAACTTTTCAAGTATCGAGGCAGAGCAGCAGGTAGAGGTGGAGGAAGAGGAAGACAAGGAGAGAGGAGGAGGAGGTGGTTGAAGATATTTCTGATGACATTAGAGCAACTTTTTTGATCAATCATGACCTCACACTGAGAGAAGCAGAGAGTGCAGACACAGCTGCAGCATCAGGACCTTCAGATGGAAACATGTCTCCAGCATGTACTGAAACTCTCTACTGCAGACTGTATCTACAGTATTTACAGTACAGTATTACATGTACTGCAACTCTCTACTGCAGACTGTATCTACAGTATATACAGTACAGTATTACATGTACTGTAACTCTCTACTGCAGACTGTATCTACAGTATTTACAGTACAGTATTACATGTACTGTAACTCTCTACTGCAGACTGTATCTATAGTATTTACAGTACTTTACTGTATCACATGTACTGTATTGCCATTTGGCTATTGCTCCTTTTGAAAAATGGTAGTTCTGTGAAACATACAATACAGTAAAGTACATAGTACTGTACTATTGAGATGTCACAGTACTGTGTACAGTATACAGTACTTTAAAAAATATCTAAACCTACAGTAACAATTTGTGGTTGCATATTTCTACAGAATGACTAGAAGACCTTCTCAAGGTGCTCCACAACTGTTCACCAACAGCAGGAACATTGTGGAAACAGTCTGATCCGTAATCCACAACTGCCTCGTTTTACATTAGAGATTTTTTGTTTTTACTGCATGGACACAAATGCAGTCAAGTATACATTAGTACTGTGATGTAAAGTATACTGTTGTACTGTGATGTAGTATTGAGTACTTCTTTGGTAAACCTTTGTTGAGAACAAAAACAGTTCAGTTGATGCTTCATAGAAAACTAACTGATAAACCGAATATAAAAACGTGAAAATGACCGCAGTGTTTTATATAAAGTACTGTAGTGTGTTGCTTCCAATCTGAACGTGTGTTCACATGATGCAAGTGTGTATCATTTTGTCCTCAGAGTCTAATTTTGACAAATGATTGTTTAGTTTTGAGAGCAGAGTTTAAGTTTTGCTTGAGGAGTTTAATTTTGAGACAGATGTGTCTGGTTTATGTCCCAGTGTTGTGTCGGGTTTTCTTGTGTGTAGAGTTTTGGGACATATGAGCACATTTTTGCAAAATGTGTTCAAGCAAAAGGACCTTTTATGCTGTAAGCATGTCTCAAACTACTAGTTTACATGAATAACTGCAGTGAATAGACACAGAAATTGTCACATACAATTCTAAAGAGTGTGTGTGTGTGTTGCTTATGTGTGTTGTCTGTTTTGTTTGTGTGTGTTGTCTGGATAAATATAATATGATTACACATACATTTCCTGTGGGGGTCACTTTTGACCGGAACACTACAGATGTAACAAGGTTCACTAAAACGCTCAAAATTCAAGTAAAGTGATGCTCATCTCTTTTGTATGTTCAGGTGCAGAGTGTGGAGGATATCATAAAGTCTTGGGGCAATGAGATGTAAAAAAATGTCAATGTGCAATCGGTCTAATTTGACCCCGAACACAACACAAAGGTTAAAGACAAAGATCAACAGAAATAATGCATTATATATGTTCTTTAACAAAAAGTGAAACATCTATTGACAACAGAATTAAAAATGTAACGGTTTTGCAATAAAAAAATATATCAATCCATCACATCAGTTTAGTTTATAGTATTATCAGTATAGCTCTACCCACCTTGTCTCCCCTGCTGCTTCCACTGTCTCTGTCCCAGTCAGAATTGGAAAAAACCAGGACGAGGCGAGTTGTTGTGATCCCCAGAGCGTAGCAACAGTCATGGAGTCAAGTGTCTCAGCGACATTTGAGCCCAGAGCCTCCTATTGTACACACCACAGCTGGGGAGTGAGGTGTTAGAGATGAACCCTGGCCCAAAGATGGAGGCCCGTACTGCAGGAGAAGCCAGTTTGAAGGAGCACAATAGGAAATCACAAATACTAGAAGTTAAGAATATGATAACCCTTACCATTAAAATATATTTTGGGGGTGTCCTATATATATATAACTACTGAAGAATAAGCAATGGTTTCCTTGTAGATTTGGACCATAATACGTACATTGAAGCTGCTGAACCTGATAATTTAATGAATATTGTATTTTGTTTGTTTCAACATTTTTCTGGGACTCTGAGGAGCACAGGGACTGGCCTCCTGCTGGTGCCGAGTTAGGACTAAAATCTTAATGAACTGTTATTATAATAGGGTATTTTTAAATTTATTTTATAGGTATATATTGTTTTTTCATTACATTCAAGCCAACGTTCTGACAAATTCCACACTGCCTCTCTCTAATTTGTCTGTGGTCCCTCTCTCTGCTCTCTCCTCGCTGTATTTTATCATAAGGGTGTCTTGAAGTGGTGACAATTATTCAAAAACATATGCATGAAGTTGGCCAGTAGAACATTGTTTATACAAAATAATTATATATATATACATTCATTCATACATACAATAAATAGATAAATACATACATACAAAAAATGAAATAAATACAACTAAAAATAAAATTATCACTATCAAATAAAAATCAGGGAAATTCAGCTATTCAACATTTTATTTAAACGGCTTCTTTCCCACAAACGTGTCAAACTGAAAACAGTCACATCGGCTGTACGCCCCATGATAATAATAATAATGATAATGCATCGGTTTTATACAGCGCTTTTCTGGACACTCAAAGACGCTTTACATGTCACTATTCTTTCACTCCATACACGGCAGGGATTTACTACTGTAGCCACAGCTGCCCTGGGGCACACTGACAGAAGCGAGGCAACCAGTATGCGCCATTGGCCCCTCTGACCACCAACCATTCAAACACACACCAGACTCATTCTAGGCAATGGGGGTGAAGTGTCTTGCCTAAGGACACAACGGCAGTTTGGCACTTTACAGCCGCAGCCGCCCCACTGTGGCTGGTGTTCCCAGAGGTTAAGTGTCTTGCCCAAGGACACATCGACAGCAGACATTTGTGGGAGTCGATAGTGAAAGTCGGGCTTGAACCCATGACCCTCTGGCTCAAAGGCCAATGCTCTATCAACTGAGCTACTGTCGTTAATGATAATTAACTGTCATAATTATAGAGCATTGTTTTTATTTTGATGTATTTTATTCACAAGCCCAAGTCCACGGTGCCCGCTCTGCTGCACCTCCCCCTCTCCTCCAGCAGATGTCGCAGTTCGACCTGGCTTTGGCTTTGTTCCCTGGCCGCCTTTGAACAGCTCTCCTACGGCTGCTGTTTCCCGAGCTGCGCCCATAACCACAGGACCAGAGGTGCTCCACAACAGTGAGTAACATCTCTCCACACACGCAAAAACACACGCGATTTAAGCCACTTTCATCACTGCTTTTCCACGCTGTGCACTCACCCTTCTCCTGCTTGCACCCGTATCCCATGTTTTTGACCTGGAATTGCTTAAAATCCCCAAAAATTAGGGCAAAGAATTGACTCCAGCCAATTACGCTAGCTTGCCTGCTGGATTACCCCCTTAAAAGTAAGAATTAACCCAAATAGACACTTTTAATGCCTGCTTTATTAACCAATTTGATGTTCTTGATCATAAAGTCGCATTTTGGCTAATTTCTCCATGCTTTACCAGGCATTGGCTGTGTAGCATGTGGCTAAGCTAACTCCAGCCTTTCAGCCCTGTCACGCTTTCCTCTTTATATGTATGCCGGGTGTGTTGAAGGCAAAGCGGTCAGAAATGTGGCTTTGTTCGTGTAGGAATTGTGTTGTTTTTGGGTGAAAAAGGACAGAAATATGAGAATAGATGAGCTCAGGAGCGACGCGAGTGGCTGCAACTTTGACAGCCCGGGTAGAGCGTCAGAGCCCGGGGTTCATGTGCGGGAGAGAAGCCTGGTGTTGACAGTAAACATGTGGAGGTAATCTGGATTTACATGGAATTTTCATGCTTCCCAGTCACTTCTGCCTCGTTCAGATCTGTGTTCTTACGTATTCTCCATTTCTTTATGGCAAGCAACACTTTTATTGATTTGGACCAACACCATTTTCTGCTATTACGTTTGTATTATATATTTTTAAAGTAATTTCAAAAGTATGTTTAAACTGCTCTTAAACGCATCTATTCAGACTGTTCCGCTCGCTATGATCTTAAATGTCACTGTCAATTGTAACTGTATGCTTTTGCTTTTGACTTTGTACAATTTAGTTGGGCAACCTTCAGTGCCCATCAAATTATCATGATTATTATTAACTTTCCATTCATTATAATAGGATATCTTTACACACAACCTAGAAACACCCTTTGAACCACATGAACAAACCAAAGCCTTGTCACTAGATCTTCACTTTTAAAATAATGTTTAGCTCTATCACTAGTTTTCACGCTTAAGCTGTCACTTTAGATCAGCTTCTTCAGACAAAAAAGTGATAAAGAGAGGACCACCGTCACTCAGCCAATCAGCTCTTAGTCCAAACCATCAAACAGACACACATAGGGACCAGATTGTTGATTCACCAACATCAGATCAGAAAATCACACAATTATAACATGTTAAATACTATAATAACACACCTGAGAGACTATAGTATAATGGATTAATCAGTGTCCCTAAAGGTCGCTGTATCTGACTGTTGTGATGATGAGGGAGCAGCGTCTGTAGTCAAAGCTCTACATTCAGAGCGTTCAGTCTATGTTCCCACTCTCACCAGCGATCATGAGCTTTAGAGAATGACCTAAAAGAGGACAATGTTGCAGATATAAAAGCTTCAGATGAGGCCACACTGGTTGTCCTTTGGAAATGAGTTGAGGAGATGGAAGGACTATGTCTCATTTTGCTTCAGATAAATATCACAGTTCTCCTTTAGAAACTGCTACTGTTAACAATGCAGCGGATTAAAGCATTTTTTATTGTGTTTATAACTAAGTCACCATCAGATAATAGCAATTTAAAGAGCCGTATTTCCTCTCTCTCTCTGGTCTGTCTCTGATCTCTCTCTGGTTTCACTCACTGGTCTTTCTCTCTAGTCACTCTGGTCTCTCTCTCTGGTCTCTCCCTGGTCTCTCTCTCTGGTCTCTCTTTTTTTAGTCGTTCCTTGCTGGTGCAGGAGGGTCTGAGGACAGTGATGTTCCGGAACATTTAAGGACGCTTTTATTAAACATTTCTGGACAGTGATCATCTCGCTCCCTCTGGACCAATGGCTCTTATGTGTTTGTTATTATTACATTTCCAGTGTTTTGAACTCTGATGACTCTCTCATCTGTTGTTGGCGAATCGACAACTTTGTATAGTCCTTTGAGACGCCTGCGATTGTGATTTAGTTCCATACACAACAAATTGAATTGAATTTAAAAACACATCAGATATTGTACCATTAGTCAATTTAATACACATCATGATACACCAGCCTCTCATCCTTGTTTGATTAGTGTTTCTCATCATTTTTTTTAGCCATCTCCAAAGGGAAATTCTTCACATTCATGCAGATAATTAAATTGTTTTGACCACTCAGAAAGCTCAGTGTGTTTTAAAGGCACAGCAGAAGTCGTGTCCCCTGTGGAGACCAGACTCTGTCGCTCAAAACATAATGAGAAACACACGGAAAAATACCAAAGGAGACATATTGTCATTTTGATAGGAATCTACTATATTGAACTAATAGACCAAAGAGTGGGAGACTATAGAGGGAGAGACTAGAGAGAGAGAGAGACTATAGAGAGAGAGAGAGAGAGAGAGACTATAGAGAGAGAGAGACTAGAGAGAGACTATAGAGAGAGAGAGACTAGAGAGAGAGACTAGAGAGAGACTAGAGAGACCAGAGTGAGGGAGACCAGAGTGAGGGAGACCAGAGTGAGAGTGACCAGAGTGAGGGAGACCAGAGTGAGGGAGACCAGAGTGAGGGAGACCAGAGTGAGGGAGACCAGAGTGAGGGAGACCAGAGTGAGGGAGACCAGAGTGAGGGAGACCAGAGTGAGGGAGACCAGAGTGAGGGAGACCAGAGTGAGGGAGACCAGAGTGAGGGAGACCAGCCTAGATTTGTTTTGACTCATGGATCATTGTGATGTATTTTACGATACAGATAACAATGTGCTGCAGAAGCTGGGTTCCTCACACAATCCAAATACATGAAAGAAAGTTTGAGTGATGTGATGACAATGGAACCTGATTAGAACAGTATTAAAGGCTCGTGAAAGTGAATTAGACGGAGACTAATCCCCATTTAACCAGAGGAACCACAGATGAGGATTGTAGCTAACCAGCCACAGAGTTCCACTAACTCAAAATACATAAAAATGGATCCTTGGACGGGACCTCTGTCTGTCTCTCTCTCTGTCTGTCTGTCTCTCTCTCTGTCTGTCTGTCTCTCTCTCTGTGTCTGTCTGTCTGTCTGTCTGTCTCTCTGTCTCTGTCTGCCTGTCTCTCTCTCTCTCTCTCTGGCTGTCTGTCTGTCTGTCTCTCTCTCTCTGTGTCTGTCTCTCTGTGTCTGTCTCTCTGTCTGCCTGTCTGTCTCTCAAGTTTTTTTGTTAACCACAAGGCAACTCAAAGGTGCTTAACAAGATAACAATAAAATCATAAATTAGATAAACAGTCATTAGAGTAATTCACAGTAATCATAAATTACCACAGTACATTAAAGAGTGAAGATACAATCCTTCAGTTGTTGCCGATAAACACAACTGTTTTAACCTGGAATTGAACATTGGCAGAGAAGAAAACTGTCTCACATTTTCAGGAAGATTTTAGCAGCGTGGATCTGAAACGCTGCCTCCCCATGTTTAGTCCTAACTCTGGGCACCAGCAGGAGGCCATTCCCTGTGCTCCTCAGAGTCCCAGCAGGAGGCCAGTCCCTGTGCTCCTCAGAGTCCCAGCAGGAGGCCAGTCCCTGTGCTCCTCAGAGTTCCAGCAGGAGGCCAATCCCTGTGCTCCTCAGAGTCCCAGCTGGTTTATATGACACTAACATGTTAAGCAGCATAAACCTATACAGATAATATAACACATCCATGGGCGCGACTATATTGTTCGATCGATTTAAAGATTCCACATGAACTAAATATATAAGAATGAGTCACAGATGTCCGTGATGGTCGTATTATTGCAGACAGACGAAAGCAGAGGATGATCTGAGATGCTTATGTAAGAACAGACTCACATTCTGTTCTTGATGTAAATGTAAAATTGCTGGTCCTTCCTGTGTTACACTTTGTCTTGATAAAGAGTTTTTGTCTTGCTTTAGTATTAATTGTGGGAACTTTGTTTTACCCCTGAACCTGGAATAAAGAACTATTTTACTGCGTAGAACAGTTTGACTGGAAAGATACACCAGATTTTCCCAAAGTATAGTCGTAAATAAAGTGGAAATATTTTGTACCTGCTGCTTTATGACTTGCAGCTGGTATCTGGAAGGTGTTAGGTAAAGTTTTAATACTGTAATGGTCAAATTACCGATTTATATTTTCAAATAAGGTCGCAAAAATTAGAAATTTTTGCGACCTTTTGCGGCATTTTTAAGAATGTGTATTTTTGATACAGTTGAAAAGTCGAAAACTACTTTTGATTTTCATTTATCGTCACTGTTCTGGTTGTTGATGTATCGTGTGTGTGTATGTATTTTAATGTTATATGAGGCATTCACCGTATATTAAGATGGTCTGACCGAGTGCTAATGTCACCTTAGTCACAGTGTTTGCTGTAGCTGTTTGCATGTTCTCCTCGTGTCTGCGTAGGTTTCCTCCAGAGGGAAACCCAACGACTGAAAGGATATCCCGATAAAATACCAAAAATGTAAAATGTAAATGTAAAATACAATTTTACTGTTTTACAGCAGTATTACCTGGAACAAGCGCAGAATGTCTTGTTTTAATTAAACTCATGCAGAAAAAACAATTTCTTAGAATGAGGAAAACAAATCAGAGCTCATAAAAAGACTCACTAAAAAAGATCAACAGGCAAATCTTCCTTTCAGACAATCAATTTAATCAATCACGAGACAGTTTCCTTATTAAAGCATTTGTATAATTCCCTTTTGCTGTTTTTTTGTAAATTACAGCCGTTGTCAGTTTGATTGCGATGATTGCAGCTCTATAGAATGCCACTGATGGGCGGCACGGTGGCTGAGTGGATAGCACTCTTGCCTCTCAGCAAGAAGGTCCTGGGTTCGAATCCCGGTCGGACCAGGGCCTTTCTGAGTGGAGTTTGCATGTTCTCCCCGTGTCTGCGTAGGTTTCCTCCGGGTACTCCGGTTTCCCCTACCACTAAAAATATGTCCAATAGTTCTAGCATGCACCTCCTGTACTCTCCCCGACAATTGCCCAAAATTAACAATTGTAAACCGCTTTGAGACTCAGATCTGCAGTGAATAGGCGGTATATAAATAAATACTTACTTACTTACTTACTTACTTACACTGATCCTATCATCTGCCTCTTGTCCCACAGGGGTCGGGTCCCTGTGCTTTACCCTCTCCACGTCGCCCCCTAGCGTCCGTCCACCATGTTTAACCTCATGAAGAAGGACAAGGAGCGGGACAGCGGGCGCAAGGAGAAGAAGAAGGAGCGCATGTCCGCGGCCGAGCTGCGCAGCCTGGAGGAGATGAGCATGCGCCGCGGCTTCTTCAACCTGAAGCGAGAGTCCAAGAGAGAGTCCAAGAACCGGCTGGAGATCTCCAACCCCATCCCCATCAAGGTGGCCAGTGGCAGCGAGCTCACCCTGACCGACCTGGACTCAGAGGAGAACCGCAGCAATCGCAGCAGCATGGTGCTGGACGGGCAGCTCAGCGGAGCCAGTTCCACAGACGACCTGAAGGGGGAGGCCTCACAGGATGGACACAGGGGGTCAGTGCGGGACCGAGTGGCTCACTACGGGTCTCTGGCCAAGCAGAACTCCACACAGGTTGGACAGGTGCGTGGATACTTACTTTAGCCCTGTTTCCACCAGTCATACTTGTCTCTACTCTACCTGTTTTCCATAACACTTCAGTATCTGGTATGTATCCTGGCATCCTACCCACAAAGAACCTGTATACATGGCTTCAAGCATCCCTCAATAGCATTCTGGATAGCTCAGATCTATCCAGACAGAGTAGAGTAGAGTAGAGTAGAGTAGAGTAGAGTAGAGTAGAGTAGAGTAGAGTAGAGTAGAGTAGAGTAGAGTAGAGTAGAGTAGAGTAGAGTAGAGTAGAGTAGAGTAGAGTAGAGTAGGGTAGAGTAGGGTAGAGTAGAGTAGCGTAGAGTAGAGTAGAGTAGAGTAGAGTAGAGTAGAGCACAATAGAGTAGAGGAGAGTAGCGTAGGGTAAAGTAGAGTAGAGTAGAGTAGAGTAGAGCACAGTAGAGCAGAGCAGAGCAGAGCAGAGCAGGTGGAAACGGGGCTTTTGGGGTTTTTTAGTTAGACTGTTTTTAGTATTGTAGCAAAGATCAGGTCTAAAAAAAAAAATGTCTAACTAGGATTGCATGAATGGAAAAACGTCATCATATTCTGTTTTTCTTGGCAGAGCAGGTTCAAAAGTAGTTCTTTCAGCATATAAAGGGGTTTTGTCTCACATCAAAATTGAGATTATGAATCCGGATTTTTAATCTAATCAGATCAGACGATTGACTTGTGGATGCAAGTTGAAACCCCCAATTTACACCAACCTTACAAATACATTTCTTGGATGTAAATTGCGTGTTTACATTTACTAGGGGTGCAACGGTTTGAAAAAATCACGGTTCGGTTCGTACCTCGGTTCAGAGGCCACGGTTCGGTTCATTTTTCGGTTCATTTTTCAAAAAAAAAGTGTTGTCTTTTTAATAAACACAGCTCATGTGGACTCGGCACCTGCTCTGACTGCCCCCACCTGCCCTAGAAATGAATTAAGGGGAAGGAAATGGATGGATGGATGGAAGGCATATTCCATCCATCCAATTATGTCTATTTAACATAATTAATGAAAAACAACACAAAGTGCAACATAAGAAGGCACTTTATGAGGATATTTACTCTCATATATTACACCACCTTCCTGATTCGAGGAGGCGCTCCATTCTGGGCCCAGCCTCATTCACTGCATTTATTTAATTTTTGGCATTATCAGTTGTGACTGGGATATTAGTACTGGGCGTTTGTCTTCCATTCCTCCGCTGCTTGTGTCAGTACCTGCGCTGGGTGACACTGTGACTGTCGTAGAGGGGGCGTGTCTGCAGCGCCAGACTTTTCATCTCCCAGTCTGCGGTGATGAAGTGAGCGGTTCTGCTCATGGATCTATTATAGGTTCCGCGGGACGTCCAAGCGTCAGTCGTGAGCTGAGCTGAGGATGCGCGGGAGAGTTGACTCTAGCCCGGTCTGACTGTGCGTAAAGGAGCTGCTTAAATGCCGCGACAATAAGCGGTCGTTGAGACGCTTTTTTCACTCATGTCTTTCTTGTGCCACAGTGCTTACACATCGTGACAGTTTTGTCGAATATTAATTATCAGTGTAGTTACAGTGAAGCCAAAATGCTCTCATACTGGGGATTTAAATGACGCGGGGCTTTCAAGCATCTCCGTTCCTCCGCTCGCAATGACCGCGCTGTGTGTGGACTGAACAACGTGCGCACAACTTTTTTTTCATAAATCAAACCGCGGATAACGTCTGTACCGAACCGAAGACGTTGAACCGAACGGATCACGGATCAGTGATGAACCGTTGCACGTCTAACATTTACATTTTAAAGCCATGCTGAAGATGCCTGGTGTAAATGTAGGGTAGCAATGAGGCCTTGTGTTTCCCAAACTGTCTGAGTGTGTTGCAGCCATCAGTCTATCTCCTTTTATTATTATATTAAAATGACTGATCTCTAACATGAGCTGAATCTCTCCTCAGATGATGAAGCGTTTCTCCTTCTCCCAGCGGAGCAAAGAGGAGAGTCCGTCCGAAGGCTCCACTCCCTCGGGCCCAAACTCCGCCGCCCCCTCCCCTCAAGTGGAGAGCAAGGTCTTCAACATGCTCCGCAAACACAGCCTGAAGCAGCCGCCCGGGAACCCGCCTCCAGAGCCTCCATCTCAGCCTCCGTCTCAGCCTCCTCCCAGCCGCCGCGTCCCGGAGCTAGTGCCTAAAACCTTCCCAGCACGCCTCTCTCTTCCCCCCGTTGTTGCACCTACGGCTCCACAAACTCGCGAGCTGGAGTTACAGCGGCGAAACACTGGGGACTTTGGCTTCTCGCTTCGCCGCACCACCATGCTGGACCGCGGCGTCGACGGCAGCGTGTACAGGAGAGTGGTCCACTTCGCCGAGCCGGGAGCCGGGACCAAAGACCTGGCCCTGGGGCTGGTTCCCGGAGATCGTCTGGTGGAGATCAACGGCAGGAACGTGGAGAATAAAAGCAGGGATGAGATCGTGGAGATGATACGGCAAAGCGGCGACACGGTGAGGCTAAAGGTGCAGCCGATCCTGGAGCTGAGCGAGCTGAGCCGCTGCTGGCTGCGGAACACGGAAGGACTGAGACGAGAAACCAGAGATGTGAGTATTGAGAGTTATGGAGGCAAAAGTATGCTCTTTTGGGATAAGTTTTTGTGAAGGAGGAGGGATTATACGAGAAGACCATTGCTAAATGTATGGCATGTATGGAGAGTGTTTGGGCGTGTGTCTTGTTGTGTGTGTGTGTGTGTTTGGATGGGTTGATTGAGTGAGAGAGGTCGAATTAGTATCTTGTTTATTTATAGTTTCATTTTGCGTAAGCTTTTGAAATGAATTGTTACTACTACTACTGAAACTAAATCAATTGGTCACATTTCTTTGAGACCATCGCGTAGAGCTGCCCGATTTTCACGACTATTACGATTTTTGTTTGTAGTTTCTCTCAAGTTTGAAGTCTCCCCGTGCACTTTGAAGAACTGACTATTTAGAAGCTGAAGAATATTATTATATCGTTCTGGTTTGCTTTTAGTCAAATCCTTTCAAGTTTGCTTTGTCTGCAATGGTTGTGTTATGGGTCCTGTGTTCTGCCAGGCAAACTTTACTTGTTTCAGCCTACTTAGCCCTACTGTACTCTACCTGGTTGGATTGGCATTACGCTTTAGTATTTGGTACCATGTCCTAGCAACCTACCCACAACAAATCAGTATTCCTTGGTAATCATGGCTTCCAGTAGCACTTAGTTCAATCACTGTCAGTTAGAATACTTTTAGTACCTGGATAGAACCAGGGACAAGAGGGACTAAAGAAGGACCTGGTTGAACAGTGCTAGTGGAATCCCTTCCAATAGGGGTAGAATAGAGCCAGGTAGAGCCGAGTAGAGTTGTAGTTAAGATCCAGTACATATCTCTTTGAGCCAGTGTTGATTTTTCTTATCGAGTATCTGTTTTTACTTGGTTAGTCTCCATCTCTGGATTTGCAACTTGAGTACTTAGAAACTCAATCAATCAAAATGCTTATTTCAAAACCTGTACAACATGATTTTAAAGAACAAAAAGCTCCCATCATAACTGGAATAGTTCAGTGCATGTAAACGGCGTGTGTTGGAGTTTGTTCCGTCACATGTGAAAGTTACAGTATGTGAACTTTTATCAACCAAAACTTAGGGAAGACATTTGTTTCCCATTTGCTTTATTATGACAGAAGCTTGCATGCTTGCCCTCTCCTCTATACCCACTGCTGCCCATTTGACCACACTAAATCAATGAATGAAGTTAAAAATAGCTCTCTGTCTGTAGAATTGATCGCTGTTTCATAATTTCTCTCACACTGGACTTTTGTCATTGATTAAAAGTGCATTAGTGACATTGGAATTCACTCCATTCTTGTGTAAAAGCGACCGGGGGCAGGAGGTATTGGATTCGTAGATGAAACATTTGTTTTCCTTCTGCTTTCGAGCCGCTTCCATCTTTTTGGAAAACCAGAAAGAATGTATTTTTCCTGGAAGTTTGAAACAATGTGAAATATTTTGTGTTTTTTTTTCTCAAATGGATCATTATTTGAGACCTGCTGTATGCTGTCTGTGCTCTAACCTACATTCACTTCTGTCATCTTGAGTTGTCGCTGCCATTGATTTTCATAATTCTTAGCCCTTAAACAGAATCTTGTGCATATTTATTTTGGCGCTGTATATTTCAGACCATTCAATCAGAGAAGATGTGTTAGCATGATGTTTGAGTTTATAGGTACATGGGATAGTATGATATTATGGTATTATAGTATTTTAGTGTCTGCCAGCACAAAACAGATGATATGTATTGCCTTTGGATCATGCCTTGAGGATTATTAATAACTTACTCTTATAAGTATTTAATGTTAATTCATATTTCAAATGGGAATTTAAAAACATATTCTAGACTCTAAATCCTGGTGGAGGAAGCTGAAGTGATAAGCTGAAAATAAATGAGTGAAGTCCCACTGTTGAGGAGGTGATGGGGAGGAGGTGGGTTTCTGCACAAGCTGGTCTTTAAAAGCTGGAATGCAGCAGATGAAGGGAGCGGCACAGGTTTGTGGTACAAGGACAGCTCTGTTTTAGTCCTGTTTAAATGCGTTAGTCCTGCTTTACACTTGTGTTAGTCCTAAGGCTTAGAAGGTTCTTTTAATTAGACAAAAAGGTATAGAAGCTAGTACTACTTTATTCCCTGACATGTTTCGGTGGTAGACTTCCGTCTTCGTCAGAGGTTGGATATCAGAACAGGACAGTCTTGCTTTCAGTCTGATTTAGATCTGTGTTAGTTCTGTTGTATTTTTTCTCTATAGTTCTGCTCTATACTTGTTTTAGTCCTACTTTTGTGCTCCTGTATTGGACCTGCTTTCGTCCTGCCTTTGTGCTTTAGTCCTGCTTTAGTCCTTGCTTTAAACTGCTACATTCCTGCTTTAGTCCTGCTGTAGTCCTGCTATAATTCTGCTTTAATGCCCCTGTGTTGGACCTGCTTTAGTCGTGTTTAAGTCCTGGTCTAGTCCTGGTCTAGTCCTGGTCTAGTCCTGGTCTAGTCCTGGTCTAGTCCTGGTCTTGTGCACAGAGGCTTCGGCCTCTCTGTGGACCTGGCCTCTGTCCAATGGCCTTGTGACACAAAAAGCAGCTCGTTCTCTTTTGAGCCTTTGTGCCGTTTACTGGAATCACACTTTGTCTGTGAGTCCAGGTCCACGTGGGGCTATTCTGAATGCATCACATTTCACAATAGACTAGCACTATTTAGCCAAAACAAGAACACAAGAAATGCAATAATAACAAACCCATAGGAGCCATTGTTCCATAGGGAGTGGGATGATCACTGTCCAGAAATCATTCTGTCCTGGATCATCAATGTCCTCAGACCCTCTTGCATCTGGAAGGAACAACAACAACAACAAAACCGTGGGGAAAAAAGTGAGAAACGGAGAGGGATCCACTCCCACGGACGGACAGGCTGTAGATCCACGACGGAGGCTGTAGACCCAGGACTGAGGCTGTAGACCCAGGACTGAGGCTGTAGACCCAGGACGGAGGCTGTAGACCCAGGACGGAGGCTGTAGACCCAGGACGGAGGCTGTAGACCCAGGACGGAGGCTGTAGACCCAGGACGGAGGCTGTAGACCCAGGACGGAGGCTGTAGACCCAGGACTGAGGCTGTAGACCCAGGACTGAGGCTGTAGACCCAGGACTGAGGCTGTAGACCCAGGACTGAGGCTGTAGACCCAGGACTGAGGCTGTAGACCCAGGACTGAGGCTGTAGATATGTAAGCAAGTTATGTATTGTCATTGATGTAAGTGGAATGCTTAATGTCATAGAGTGTGGAAGATTCCCGCCAAAACATTGACATTTAGCTGGACCAAAGCCAAAAGCGGTGGTGAAAGTTGTGTAGTGCAGCCTTAATGTATCTTGTCTAAAATTCCAGCGTTCTTCTAGACTCAGAAAGCCAGGTTAACCTCTCTAGTAAAAAAAAAAAAAAATCAGATTTCTGCATTTGAATCCTCTCATCCAAATGCCATGTTCTATAACAGTCGAACATTTACGAGGCAGGAGTCTTCTGTGCCCTCACTGCTCCCTGTTAACTTTGGCACACTTTCTGTTATTTCAGGAAGCAATTCCTGCTTCCACTTGTGTTGAAACCAGCAGCTCCGGCCATTTCCTCACAAACTCATTTCAGATAAAAGCCCTTAAAAATCACTCCGGATAAGTGGCTGAATATAGAGAGACATGGAGAGAGACATGGAGAGAGACATGGAGAGAGACATGGAGAGAGACATGGAGAGGGACATGGAGAGAGACATGGAGAGAGACATGGAGAGAGACATGGAGAGAGACATGGAGGGAGACAGAGAGAGAGAAAGAGAGAGAAAGAGAGAGAGAGGCAGAGAGAGATAGAAACGGAGACAGACAGAGACACACTCAAAATCACCATAAAATTTGATCTGATCTTTCTCAAAATCACACCAATGAAATAACACATCTGCTCACACTGGGCCCTATTCTTATCGTTGGCCCCTGTCCCTTGTTCTCTGCTCGCTCCTGGAGCCGGTCGTACATTCGGCCGTAGTCAGTCTCAGTATAGTCTTATAGAATACACAAAGTCTGGATCCAAGGAAAGGAAATAACATAGTGCTGGCTGTGGGCTTTAAACATTTGCATTGTCTGGGCAACACATGTACTCAGAGACTTCTACTGTTGTAAATCTCTCACTGAATCCGAGGGCGAAACACAACAATCTGACAACAATCGACGGCCGCCTCCTTCCAAAGTATTTGAAGAATCTGTGTCGGAACAAATGACCACTTCCGTCGCTCTCCTACGGAACCTCCTCCAAACACACGGAGGGAAGACAAGAGAGCGAGAGATTCTTGTCCGATATCACGGCTTTACTTACTGAGTTCGACCAATCGTTTTCTAGTTTTTACGTTTTTGTTTTTGCATTATTCTTCCTGATTTGCAAAACAATGGCATTGGTCCCTAGATTACTTCAATTAACAGATGCTTATTTATTTGTTTGGAGGATAAGCCCCTAGAGATGAATCATCTAGTTTTTGAGGGAGTCCTCAAAAAAGTAATTCAGATTCAGTAAGGCAGACAGTAGAGCAAACAATATAACAGAATTCATAGATAATAATGCAAACACAAAAGACAAAGGACACATATACACACACCCACTCACACACACACACACACAACAAAAAGAAAAAAAATTCAATTACATATAAGTTACAAAACTGAATGCCAGGAATTATTGTTTTCTCTTTGGGTTGACAAAAATATTGACCCCTTGCATGTGACGTCCCGGCCACGCCCACTCTCCATGACAGACGGCAGAAGTCTAACTGCGAGCCTACGGACACCTGACCAAAACAACCTGTTTCAGCGCATTACAGCCAAAACTATGACATTTTGCAGTGCGGTTGATTATACTAACAGGCAAGGACATAAGCTTTTTTATCTGATACCTGCTCGTCATGAAGACAGAAGACGACGATGGCGGCAATCAACCAAAAGGACTGGGACCCATCCAAGTTCTCCCTAATATGCAGTGAACACTTTTTACAAGATAAAGCAATCACAAGTTTGTCTTTATTTTATTTCCATTAATTTGGAGGACAATGACACACGTCAAACGTGTCTCTTACTACT